AGCGTCTCCCATGTAGGGTGAGAGACACCCCCCTGTCCCGAGCCCCTGGGGAACCAGAGCCCTTGTGGAACAGAGATGACCCTGCCCTGCACAGATTCCTCCCCTGCAGGTGCCCAGGTAGGAGGGGGAGGGGCCTCCGCCAGCTCACTCCCCCCTGCCGGGAGAGCTTGGGAAAGCCCTGGGCAGTGCCCCTGATGTGATGCTGGCTTCTGCGGCCCATGGGCATCGACGGCAGGGCAGTAACCAGAAGAGGATCCAGCTGCAGCTGAGTCAGCACCCTCTGCTCCCATTTCACGGAGCAGGAAACTGAGGCCCAGAGGGCTTACGTAACTTAGGTTACACAGAGCTGGGATTTGGACCTGGGGTCCCCGCCCTTAAGCACTAGGCAGCAGGGGTGCAGGGTAGACTGGTTGGCCTGACAAGCACCCACTGAGCCGCCACCAGGAGGTGCAGACTGTTCACCTCCAGGTCGGATGCAGAGCTCCCGGCCGCCCCCCCACACCGCGTGCCCGCTGCTGGACTGAGGTCCACACAAATCTCAAAAAGGATCCTTGCTTCCCGGATGCAGAAACGGAGGGTGGGCAGCTAAGCCAGGTGTCCAGGCAGTAAGCAGGACCCACAGCTTTGGGAGCCTAGCCCCGCCCTCCTCCCTTCCCCCTCCTTCTTAGCGGGATGGGACGCACACCAGGACCCCTCCCTGCCTCCGAGTCTGCCTACCAGAGTTGGGGAGGAGTTTGTTCCCAGTTTGATGTGGGGAGGGGGTCCTCATTCTTGGGGCTGCTACTCCTGGTGCCAAAGCAGGTTTGGGCAGCAGATTCTCCGGAGTTGCTGGGAGCGTCGTTCCGTGCGCACCCTGCCCCGCCTTTTCAAAGGTCCTGGGGCTCCCTAGGGTCTCTCAGCCCTGGTGCCCCAGTGGGAGCTCTGGCTGTCAGTCCCGTCCAGGGTGAGGGAGTGTCCCCTAGGGCTCAAAGGAGGGGAGGGGCAGGGAGCTGGGACGCCCGAAGCCTAGGGGAGTGGGGTGGGGGGTGGGGTCAGAGGTCAGGGGCTCTAGGTCCAGCCAGGCTCTGTCCCCTCCCACAGCCCCCGCTGGGCAGCCACCGCGGAGGCAGGCAGCCGCAGAGTGACGCGGCCCCCGGGGAAAGGCTTGCGGGAAAAGCGAAGGGGAGGAAGGGCGCCCTCGGCCTTGCCAGCCCCCTCCCCAAGGCTCATCCCCACCACCACCTTGCTCACCTGTCCCTTCCCAGGCCCACTTTTCTC